TAATTACAATCTATATGTGGTTGTACTGGATGCTGTTAAACCATCTGTGTTATCTGTAACACTTTTGTTTGTGCTACAGCATATTTTTGTTATCTTCTATTCTTCTTCTCAGCACTTGTACATTCTTAAACAGCATGTTACCAAGCTACTGCTCAAACAACTTTCAGGCACTCAATGGGAGTGCCTAATTGAAAACGTTAAATTGCTTCAATACCAATTCAGGGAAGTGCATGGTGTCATCGATGCACAGATAGATAAAGCTACTCAGGAAAAGAACAGTGCAACTGCAGAGAGGCATGGAGCCTCATACAAGAGATCTCTTCAGGGCACTTCTTAGTGTGTCTTGTATTATGGCACAGTATTTTGCTTCAAATCAGTCATTCACGCAAACTGCTTCAGGACCTTCAATGTATCAATGAACACCCTTAAAATGGAATTACACAGTGCTTAAATATCTACAATGTTATACCTCTTTTTTGCGATATTCATATCCCAGGTAGTAGACAATCAAATATTTCTTTTTGTGTATATTTGAGACAAAACTGCTCCCACTGCAAAATCACTAGCATCTGTGTGTAAAATGAATGGACCTTCCAGAGATAGATATGATGGTACAGAAGTAGTGGTCAACTCCTTCATTTTGTTGAATGCTTATTCACAACTCTTCTCTTGCTGGAACTTTTCATCCACTTTTTGTTTGTATCACTTCCTTTTCTTTCTTTGTACCTGACGGTAATTTATTATATTTCTTTACTAAATCGGATCTAGCTTTTGTAACTGTAAAACCAGTGTCAATCAAAATACTACAAGACTTCCCGTTGTTACGTCTCTGTATGTTTGTTAATTTTTCTACGATACAAGTCCTTTCTTAAATAAAACTTGTTTATTCTTCCTCAATACAACTTTGCAATACACTTAAATTTCACAGTTACACACATTATAGTTCACAACAATTCACTCACTTTCTACCGCGCTTGACTCAATTGTCCATCTCTATCTCCGCCTGTCAGCAACTATAGTTCCGATCTCTGTATCTGCTATCCTCGGTTCCCGCCGACCGTAACTGCTGTACTTGGTTCCCACTCTCTCCCTTTCTCTCTCCTCCCTCTCTCTCTCTGTCTAGCGCACTTATATACGATAATACCGCCTCTTCTAGAATCTTCTAGGCTCTCAACACGTGCTACCAGCGTCACTTGACTTTCGCTGTCGTAACACACTAGCGTTTATCGCGAATCTTCTGGAATACTCGTCACGTAACCCTCGCTGTCGTAACACCGTCAATAAACCCGTGGACTTGTAGACTGATTTCATTAAACAATCAAATTCTTATTTCGTTTGAGGCAGATAAGGGTATTCTCAACTGAACTTTGCTCCATAAGTCTAGCTAATGTTTATTTTCCAATGACTAGTCAGCCCTTGGTTGTTCATTCAACCTGGTTAGGCTCAAAGATGTATCTTTGAAGTATTGTCTCCTTGGTATCTTAATAACTGTTAATTTCTCACAATCTAGATTGTAATGATAAGGTTTACCACATCTAAAATAGTTACTTCTTTCTAGTATCTGTTAGGAGGAGTTCATATTCCATACAAGCTTTTGCCTGCAGTTTCTGACAATATGTCCTCTCAAGTTACACTTTAAACACTTATTTTCTTGAAGTATAATCTCTCTATTCTGTTTAAATAGTTATCTGACTAATATTTTTAGTTCCTCTAAACTTTCATCAGGATGAGTTGATGTTTCAACACTATTCAATCTGATGATCCTCTAAAATCGAATGGGTATCTTTATTTATTCATCTGCAATTTATTGGATTCTATTTCCTCCTCTAACTGCAGAGCTTCCTTTAAAAACGTACACCTACTTTTCTTCAACCTAATTCTCACATTTTCCTTTGTTATGGCATTTATAAATTGGTCACATGACAACAAATCCATCTTTTCAGGAGAAGCGTCTGGGTAAGTAATTGTACAAGCCTTTATAAAACCTTCTGCAAGTTCTTTTAAGGTTTCTTCTTTAAACCATATCCTATTCCAAAACACTTCTCTGGATACTTCCTTTTAATGCAACACTCTGAACATCTTGGATAAGATGGCTACCAATAATTGATGGTTGTTATGGATCTCAGCTGGAAGGTTACTTAATGTTATACAAACTGGTCCTTTCATGAAATACCTACTTACAAAAGAAGTAGGTCGTAGTGTTTTGTAAGTAGGTATGCAACTCTTGTGAAAGCAAGATGGATGTCTTGTTCACTACTTCAGCTCTTCACCCTGGAAATGTTCTCGAATTGAGCCTGATATGACTCCATGATACTTTTCGCATCATTGTTTGTTGGTTGCTTGATCGGCTGATGTTGGACTAGCCAGTTAAATTCTGGGAGTATATTTGGTAATGTCATGGATGGAGAAGTCCAGGAAGGTCTTTTAGTAACAATTAACACAACGGTAGTGGCAATAGGTGTAGACCAATCAAATTCTTCTATTCCTATTCTATATGTGGTAGTATATATTTTTTGGAACTGTTGAGAAAATGCAGAAATAAGTGTGATTGGTTTAATCTTTGCATTTATTAATTCGTTTTCCGTGATCCTTTATTCTATCACTGTTGTTTTTCCTACTCCAATAATGATCTTTCCTGCTTTGCTTTTGACTTCACTGCTGTTTTTTTGTTACTCACTTTTGACTTCATTGATATTCATTTGCATTTCTTTAAACTTGTCAATGTAATCCGCTGTACACTTCCTGTAACTTTATCGACCTTGTTTTAATGAGATTATTTTTTTATTTTAATTCTTCATATTTATCTTTCTTTTAGATCTTCTCTTAAATATATGTTTCATTTTCCTTGACCATCTTTCAATTTTCTATAAATTCCTTTTTGGTCTTCTTTTAATTCTGTATCCCTTTTTCATCAAACAAATTAATTTACTTGTACAAATTAACCGCAATGGCTAACACACTGACTGGCTCAACTTTTTATCTTGAAATGCCTCTATCCACTTCACGACTATTTTGTATTTATATTATTGACGTCACATCCTTAAAATTTGCTAGGTATTCTATTTCCTATAACTAACAAATTACTATGTCAACAATATAGCTTACAACAATTATATTGAGCTCCTATAACAAAAACAATTTTTTGGTTGATTATCTGTACCAATGTTAAGTTCAAATAGTGAGCACGTGCCATTTTGTACATGGTTTTATATTACATTAAGGTCTTGGTTACAGAAGCATTACTAGAAAAGGTAAAACTCCGAATGCCCAGATGATCCCTTGTGAGTTTCTTATGTTTTATTCTCTAAAATAATGCATAATTATGATTACAAAATGTTGTTAAAAAAGTGTTTCATCATTTGTATGTAAACAGTCTAGTAGTGAAAGTTATCAAATACACATAGAGTAGCTACACTTTAGCCTCTGTCCTTGGCTTCTAACAAGTGTAATGCTGGTTCTATTCTTCTTATGTTTTAATAACGTTACTGATAAAGTTTGGTGCGAATTTGAGTTTTAAATTAAATGTCTTTGCTTTGTGAATAATGTTGTCATTTTCAATTAAATGTTAGGAGATTGTTCTTTTTTCAGGGATGGTTGTATTGAAAATAAATGGAGTTGAAGTCATAAATATTTATAAACATGTGCCTTAACTCTGTTCATTTATTACATTTTCAACTACACCTTGTTAAGTCTAATGAGTGTTCAAACACTTTTACACGAGGTAGCATTGACGTATAATAAGTATAATTCAACAAATAATATTTAATCAGGACAAATATACTGAGCAGGTAAAAGTTTGGAGATGACTTGGATGAGTAATGAAGAAAACTTTATGAGAAATGTAAACCGTTTCGACAAGATTATGTCATCCTCAGGTAGAAGTAATTCACAGAGACAGTGAATATATATGTACAGTATGGAACAAACCCGTCAAATGACCGGAGATTGCTTAATAGCTTAGTATAGGTATCCCGTAGTACGGCTGTTTTGTTCAATCAAGACACACTCTAGTGTGTCGTGCTTCCAAAACAAACTGCAGGACACACTGTGTGTTACAGGAGTGATAGTTTAGCGATTTTCCACTTTCCATAGCTCTGACTGTGGTAATCCAAATTCTCACATATTTTCAGTTTATGTGCTATACTGGACCCTTACTTCATGTACTAAATGTCAAGGCAATTCATTACGAAATACGAGAAATATAAAACCCCCAAATATTTTTCAGTTACAGTGGATTCTACTCCAGACGTCAGCCATGTAGACCAGCTGACATGTGAGTTGCGGTACTTAGAAGAAGACACACCAGTCGAACGTTTCATGTGTTTTCTCGATAGTATTGGTCACAAAGGGCAAGATCAGGCGACTGCTCTGCTTAAATTTCTTGAGAATGTTGGTATCGACATAGCAAACTTCCGGGGCCAATCATATGACAATGCATCTAATATGAGTAGCAAGTACAATGGGATGCAAGCAATAATTCGTCAGAAATATCCTCTGGCAGTATTTGTATCTTGTGCTACACATTCCCTGAATTTGGTGGGTCATGCCGTAGTTGGTGGATTTCACCCAGCGATCACATACTTCAATTATATGTATTCTTGACAAGTTCAACTTCACATTTTGCTCATTTAATGGATGCACTGAGACCAAAAGGATTATATATCCCCAAAAGTTTGAGTAACACACGTTGGTCGGCTCATGCAGATGCCACGAGAGCTATATATGAAGGTTACAACAAGATAGCTGATGTCATAGACAACATTGATAATGATGCGAGCCAAAAGGGTGAGACCAGAAATATTTTAGCAAAATTAATATTAAACTGTGAACCAATTAATGAGATATCAACCAGTGATTCGTTCTAAAATCCCTCTCAATGGAAATTAATAACCTGAAAAATTAAGACAACAAGAAATCATTTAATAAAACCAAAACAAAAATAACTTTAAATAGTTTTGGAATATATATCTATATTTCGTGTCCACAAGATGTCATTTTGTTATACATTGCAATGGCCGAAATTGGAAGTAATGAGTGCGTTAATGATATTACTAGTGAGAGTGAGTTAGACTTTGAGGAAGTTGATATATGGAAGCCACGTGGGCCTACGCTAAAAGGTAGAAAAGAAACTAAAGTGACATCTAAATATTTGTGTGAAGTTGGCAAGAACAACATTAGTATTAATATCCACGAATCAAGACCTGAAAATAAAATTCATCAAGAAGAAAAAAATACGTTGTTGAATATAGGTAAAACCGAAAGTGATAGTGATTCATGCGTTGTTGTAAGCGAAGGTATCGAGAAACCTAGTGAAAACAACTTCATTGTCTCTGCGTTAAGAGATAATACGAAATTTGTAGAAATTGAAGAGGTACATGGCTTTTATTCTAGATAAATATATAATGAGTTTCTTAAACTTTAAACGGGAAACTTGTTAACTTTTCATGACTACTACTAGTAATGTTCTATTTTGTTATAACTTGTACTAACAAGTAACAGTGTAACATGATAAAATAGATTATATCTAAAATGTGGCTGAGTGAGAGAAAGCAAAAAGCTGTTATTAAACTTAAATTAATTGAGTCCTGTTAAAATTGACCTTTGTGCAATATTACTATTATTACTTATTTAAGGGTGTGCCTTAGGTTCAGTGGTTGCCTTTGCATACTTTTAAGTTTTACTAATTTTGTAACTACCTTATTTAGATTAATCATTTTAATGATATTGTTACGCCTCCGTTCGTTAGTTAATTTTCCGTATATTCATTCCGACGAAACTTTACCGATAGAAGTCCTTTCTTAAATAAAACTGGTTTATTCTTTCTGAATACAACTTTGCAATACACTTAATTTCCACAGTCACGCTATAACAAACGCTATAATTCGCAACGAACGTCTCACGTGCACAACTCAACAATACTCTGTCCGCAGTTCAATTACACATTGTTCCCGTCGCTTCTTGGCTGGTCTTATATATACAAGACTACCCCATATCTAGTAGTCTCCCGACGCTTCATGAACGTTCTACAAACGCGTGGCGTGTTACTAGCATCATGTGACCTCCACTGTCGTAACACTATTGATAAGGTAATAATTAGTAAATTAGTAAAGTTAATTTATGGATAACAATAAATCATTTGGCTCTTGAAAGTTCAAGGTTGCCCTTGCACACCAACCCTTGAGAAAATGTAGAAACTTAATCCCCTTCCTGTATTTTTCTGGAAATATCAATTCCCCTTACTAATGACATTGAGATTTAAATTCATCAGTTATTTCTACTTCTAGCTGTAATGTTGAAGTACAACAGAATGGCTTGGATCAATTGTTAAGTTGCTATCAAATGACCTTTAAATTTAATAATGCATTTGGTTATCAAAATCATAATTTGGATCACACAAATAATGTAGATGAGAACATACTCAATAGCATGACTGGGTCTGGAAAAAAGAATCTTAGCATGGTGATGGATGAGTCAGATAAGCCATTGAGGCAATGCTCTGTTGCTAGTTGTAAATCTAATAAAATTTTAGAGTGTATGTATAGACGTCCTGATCACAAGTCAAAATTGAGAACTATTTCTATACAAATCAGTAGTTAGGCCTCACTTGGAATACTTTTTACAGTTTTGGTCTTATATGTAAATTAAGAAAGGATTGTCAGGTTTGGAATATGGGCTGGGATTCTTGTTGGTAATATATGTCAACAAAAATTGATTTTACTATTGGTTAACAAAGTTGTATCCAAAGCTTTGAATAATTCTCTTTCTTGTGAAAAGTCCACACAGGCTAGTTCAGTTATTTTATAACTCAAATGACAAGACGAATTGTGTTTCTCTACTCTGTTTCTTACTGTACAATCTGCGATAGATTCACTTACATTACCCCATGGGTTACCACAGTTGTATCCAGAACTTTAAGTAACTATCTACTTTCTTTCAAATTCCACATAGGTGGGTTCAATTACTTTAGAACATTTTTTGACAAGACAAATTATTCTATATAATCCCATTATTACAATAGCACTGTGAAACTCATATTAAATATTGCCCGTTATGGCTAAACAAACAATCACATAGTGTACCTTTAGTTTCAGTAACTTAAAGTTTTCTGATTTAGCATGCACTCACTTGGTTGCCTATATATATATATATAAACTATGAGATGCTATGATGTAACAATACTCACTTAAGGCAATGAGAAAAATACAGAAGCTTTGAGTAATGTAATGTCAAATTACAACAGTTCAACTACACAGACGACATATGACTCTTACCAACTTGTGTAACAATATCATAACTGTTGCCTTTAAAATAATTACTTTTAACACTCTTGTTATGAAAACTAAATAATCATTAAATATTGGATACTAAATGAACTAAATAATAACTCTCACACAGAACAGTCTTGTATATCCCACAAGGATATTGACTTATTTGAAAGGGTTCAGAGGAGAGCTTCTGAGATGATTTCATGGGTGTAATTACAATTTTATCAATTTATGGGGATAAGTTAAGATACCTTATTTTCTCTTGAGAAAAGAAGAGTAAGAATTGATCTTATTGAAGTTTACAATATTATAACAATAAGGGACTATTTTGCATCTCAAGGCTGTTTTTGTATTTGTGACTCTGATCTCTTTTATTTTGTTGTATTCATAAGATATTGGATAAGAAGACACTTTTGATGTTTGTAATAGGCAGGTTATACTCCAGTTAAGACAGTTTTATTTTCTAACAGGGTGATTAGCTTATGGAATGAGTTGCTGTTGCAGTAGTAGAGGCTGGTGCTTTACAAGAGTTTAAGTGATTATATTATTTATACTTAAGTACCTTGAATTTTTAATTATTTATGAATTTTGTTGGATAGCTACATGCCACTTTGCTTATGTTATTTTCTACATAAATTACATTAGCTACATAAATCGTATATTTTTGCCTGTTTTACTTTAAATTAGTGAACTTTAGAACTTTTGAGTAGACTGCTATAGGTAGTCTTATTAGTATTAAATGTTGAAAAATGGGTGTATACCATGTTGCAATATTAAAGATTTTAATAGGAGATAGATTTTGACTTCAGGAATTTTCTTCTTGCTTCATCTCTGGAGGGAATTCCCTAGATTAGGTCAAACAATGGCAGCTATAGAACCAGTATTATTCAACATGTCGTAAGGCTTCCCATTAATGAACCTGTTGATTCATGGAATGCTTTCTTTTAATTATCATATTTCTTATCTCAGTTGGATCAGATCATCACTTAGATTTTTATTAATGGTTGATTCACTACAGTCTTGACTGTAACATCCATACCACACTTATAGTAGTTTTCTTTTTCTGTCACCCTTCAGTAGTAGTTTCTTTTGTCTGTGGTTCCTTGTGGTATGTCATTTTAAGGAGTAGTTGAAAGACCTTCTGTCTCAAAGTTAATTTCTTCCATTCTGAGTAAATGGTTGTCTTATTGATATTTTGAAATTTTCTAGACATTCATAAGAGGAAGTTGATTTTTCTACACTGTTTGGGTCTGGTGATCTCAATTATTGGATGGTGTCTTTAGTTATATCTTTGCAACGTTAATAGATGTAAGTTCCATAATCAAGTGGACAGTTTCCTTTAAAGATATACAACTTCTTTGCTTAATCTAAGTTGCATATCCTCATTACAGTGGCATCAATGAATTTGTCACATTCCAACAAATCCATCTTTTCTTGTGGAGCATTTAAATAAGGTAATTGAGCAAGTCTTTCCACTTCTTCACAGGTCTATCTAATCGATGGGATAGCCATAAGTGTTTGGTACTTGTTATGATTTTCAGTTTAAAGGTTTCTCAAGCTGGCTAAAGCTTATTCTTGTAAGTGTGCAGCTAGATTAAAAGTGTGCCTGATATGTCTCTCATGGTACCTTTCTGTGTGTGTGTGTGTGTAAAGTGATGAAGTGGTGTAGCTGGAGTAGTCCAGGAGAGTTAGGCAGTTATAGGTGGCACAACAGGAGTACTAACAGGTGTAGACCAAATGGGTTATCCTATTTCATGTTGCATAGTTAATGATGTTTGAAATTGGAATGCTTGAGAAGATGCAGAGAGAGGTGTGGCTGGTTTGATCCTTGTATTGGCCAGTTTAATTTCCAGGTATTTGAATGTGGTGTTAATGTCATTTTTTTTTACATTGATGAGATTTGTTACAATACTTTTATACATTGTCAATGACTTCTTGAATCTTATTATTAACTTTCTGTAAATTTCATATAGCTTCTTCTGTCTTGTTGTGATGATACTTCTGTATATATCCTTTAATTTTTCAACCAGGATTTGAACACAGTCATGGTGATAGAATTCAAGGACTTTTCAAAGCTTCAACTGCTATTTCAAGGACTCCCAACAATTGACATTCTTGAAAATTTTGATCTTCCACAATTCACAGGATCAACAACATTACATTTTGATGGTTTCTTGCAGAAATAAATTATGCAAAAGAACTGGAAGATATTCTGAAATTGCTCTCACTTGGTGCACTTTCACCTATGATGTACAGATCAATTACTTTATTATAAGCAGCACAACATGTCTTGTATCGACATCCATTGTGTTTTCTGACCCAATTTTTGAAATTATCATGGTCTGACCATTTCCTATTGAATATGAATGTCTATGTGATGAAATACTGGATGATATGGCATTCTAATAATGCTTTGAGGTGGCTTGAATGGGTAATGAAGAAAAACTTTATTATAAGTTTAACATAACAGGAAATGTACAACGTTTTGACAAGGTTTTGTCATCATCAGATTGAAACCTTATCAAAACGTTGTACATCTGCTGTTATGTTAAACTTATATTAAAGTTTTTCGTCATTACTCATTCAAGCCATCTCCAAGCATTATTAGTCTCAAAATGGGTTCCTTGTCATCGAATATGGCATTATATTTGTGACAATAGGCTTATATCATATGGCACATATTTTCTGAAAAGAACATACATTTTCCACTACTCAATGATTTGCTTTACACTTGAAACATCACACTTATGTTGCAAAATCATGTTACTAAAATGGTTGTATAATGGGGAAAAAATTACAAAAAAATCACACTTCTGGGGAATCATGCAAGAGTTGAATGGAGTGCCACTGGCAAAGACAGAGACTCTGACTGACAGTGAGAAAAAATGGATGATTGACCCAGTATTGATTCTTAATTGAATATAGAAAAAAAAAAGGACACACTATGACAAAAATGTTCTACAATACTTCAGTTTAGTAATTTTTAAAGCAATTTTATTAAACTTTAAGGACTTCTAAAGCTCCATATGAACCCTGTCAACATTTTATTTGACTTTTCTAACTTAAATGTGTGCACTCTCTGTCATGTCCTTCATGGAATGTATTT